GCTTAAGATCAGCTTCAAACTGTGCAGAGGGCAGTGTTATTTCCATTTTTAATTCTTTCTTGGGCAAGTGCGCTTCCACAGAAGGGACGTCGGTTTCTGCCGCTGGGACATCTTTCCCTTTGGGCAGCGAAATTCCAAATTTGGGCATATGGAACTTGGGCATTTGGAACTTCCTATCTCCACTTTCCAGCTTGACATCAGGGCCCTGCACAGAAACCTTTCCAGATGGAGGCTCTATGGCAATGTCAGGAGCTTTCAGTTCCAGGCTGGCAGAGTCTGTTGGAATCTTTACTTCAGGTGGAGATATGGTAATATCTCCTCCTTTCACCTCAGGTTTCTCAACCCGGATCTCAGCTTCAGGAAGAGAAATGTCCACTTTAGGCATACTGACATCCACATCGACTTTGGGGCCCTTGATATCTGGTTTGGAGAATCCCATGCTGGGCATCTTGAACTTTGGCATGTGTATCTTCAGTCCTCCCCTGTCGATGGTGCCTTCAGTCTCTGGCAATTTTACAGCCTCTGCACCATCAGACACCTCAGCTTTTACTTTATGAAGGGCAACTTCAGCTTCAACCTTTGGCAGGGAGATCCCTACTTCTGGTCCTTTGACCTTGGGGACCTTGACGCTAGGCATCTTTGCTTTAGGAATTTTCATTTTGCCCTTATCTCCAATCTCCACATCCATGCTGGGTGCATCTACCTCCACTTTGGGCAGCTTAAAATCAGCTTCAAGCGGCGGAGAGCGCAATGTTATTTCTGTTTTCAATTCTGTCTTGGGTAAGTCTGCTTCCACAGAAGGGATGCCGATTTCTGCCTCTGGGACACCTGTCCCTTTGGGCAGCGAAATTCCAAATTTGGGCATATGGAACTTGGGCATTTGGAATTTCATATCCCCACTTTCCAGACTGACATCGGGGCCCTGTACAGAAGCCTTACCAGATGCAGGCTCTATGGCTACGTCGGGAGCTTTCAGTTCCAGGCTGGCTGAGCCCGTTGGAATCTTTACTTCAGATGCAGATACAGTAATAGCTCCTCCTTTCACCTCAGGTTTCTCAACATGGAGCTCAACTTCCAGAAGGGAATGGTCCACTTTAGGCATACTGACATCCACATCGACTTTATGGCCCTTGATGTCTGGTTTGGAGAAACCCATGCTGGGCATCTTGAACTTTGGCATGTGTATCTTCAGTCCTCCCCCGTCGATGGTGCCTTCAGTCTCTGGCAATTTTATGGCCTCTCCGCCATCAGACACCTCAGCTTTTACTTTGGGAAGGGCAACTTCAGCTTCAAGCTTTGGCAGGGAGAACCCAACTTCTGGGCCTTTGACCTTGGGGACCTTGACGCTAGGCGTCTTTGCTTTAGGAGTTTTGATTTTGCCCTTATCTCCAATCTCCACGTCCAAGCTAGGTGCATCTACCTCCACTTCTGGCACCTTAAGGTCAGCTTCAAACTGTGCAGAGGGCAGTGTTACTTCCGTTTTTAATTCTTTCTTGGGCAAGTGTGCTTCCACAGAAGGGACGTCGGTTTCTGCCTCTGGGACACCTTTCCCTTTGGGCAGCGAAATTCCAAATTTGGGCATATGGAACTTGGGCATTTGGAACTTCCTATCTCCGCTTTCCAGCTTGACATCGGGACCCTGTACAGAAACCTTTCCAGATGGAGGCTCTATGGCTACGTCGGGAGCTTTCAATTCCAGGCTGGCCAAGTCTGTTGGAATCTTTACTTCAGGAGATGATATGATAATGTCTCCTCCCTTCACTTCAGGTTTCTCAACCTGGATCTCAGCTTCGGGAAGAGAAATGTCCACTTTAGGCATACTGACATCCACATCGACTTTGG